CGCCATTGATCCCCTAATCCTTGCTCCTGATCCCTCCCCAGGCCTTCACCGCAATAAAGATATCTATTTAAAAAATAAAAATAAAATAAAAAATATCTCAGTATCTCCAAAAAAAAAAAAAAAAAAAAAAGGAGTTGGGACTAGAACTCAGGTGTTCTAACTTTAGGGCCGATGCTTTGTCCACTGTACATTTTTTACTTCTAATATTTTCTGGAGTGGTTTACCTGAAAACACTGGTCTTTCGGCCTGTATTTTAATCTCCCCCATGGTCATCTCCCTCCAAGATAGTTTGCTATGAAATTGAAGAGTGGTGTGTTATACTGTTAAACAGGTTTGCTTTATGAGTTCTACTGGAGACCTACACTATGGCTTCTGTCTCCCAGACAAGTCTTTGTAGACTCCTGTTTGGTTCCTAATAAACCTCCAAGTAACCACAATGGAAGGAAGCAGATAGGTAGACTCATGTATTAGAGACATTTCCCTTTAGCTGGTAGATTCTCTTTTAAATTTGTGATTTTTAAAGAGAAAGATTTAATTTTTATACAGATACATTTATCAAAAATATTTTTTTATGATTTCTATCTTTGGAAACCTTTATCCCAAATTATGTAACCAACTCTTATATTTCCCAGAATTTCTTTTGCTATATGTATTTTTTTTACATTTGAATCTCAAATTCATCTGTTATTAATTTTGGTGTAAGGTATAAGTGATGTAGGGATCTAGCTATTTTTCCTAAAAGTTTGGCTAGTTATCTATTTATGCATATGTTGTCTTGTAATTTCTACTGTAGAACATATTATTAATAAATCCAAACCAAACACAGAACAATGCTTCTAGGAAAAGAAAGTCTAGTTTTAATTAGGTACTGTGACGAAAGATGGGGGATAAATGGAGACAATCCTGTACAGAAAATCCTGTACTCACAGGGCTGGTATTCAGCCAGTTTGTAGTTATATGACCTCACAAATTGTTTCTAGCTAGTTTCAATTTGATGGGTTTGTGCCCATCACTTACTGGGTATTAACGGTTTTAAAATATCCTCCCTGCAAGTAGATGTTATTTAAATAAAACAAAGCAGAATTATCTTTACCTGATTCCTCAGTTTCTTTTGTTTCTGTTGTTTCTTCTATTTCATCATCAGACATCTCCATTTCTTCTTCTCTCCTGATTCCCATTAATTCATCATTATGTATGTTACGAATTTCCTAAAGTTAAAAGGTATGCTTTTTAGGTGGGAAAGCCTTGAAAATGTTGAGAAAATAAACAGAGTTAAGGATAAGATAAAGCAGGTTTTTTGACATGTAACAAAATTTCAGAGCACTCTTAAGGCAAAGGCAAAGGGATATATTGAGGCTGAAATCATCTCAGTAGAACAAAGCAGACTTTGTACACTGTTTTGCATTAGGTTTCCTTTCCATACCCAGAGCTCTGGGAGTTGATAATTCTTGTATCCCTCTCATATCAGAAAGTACTCTTTTTCTAAAAATATATCTTTATTGATTTCAGAGAGGAAAGGAGAGGGAGAGAGAGACAGAAACATCAATGATGAGAGAGTCATTGATCGAGCCCGCAACCCGGGCATGTGCCCTGACCAGGAATTGAATCCTGATCGCCTGGATCCTAGGTCGACGCTCAATGGCTGAGCCACTCTTGGCCAGGCCAGAAAGTACTCTTAATCAAACTTTTGCAGGTTTAGAAGTTACAGCAAAAATGAGTGGTCAAGAACGAGCTTCTACCAGATCACCCCTTCCATAGATAATAATACTTTGTATACAAGACACAAAACCAAACCAAACCAAATCAAACCCCTAATGGCATTGGAGAGTGAACAAAAGCACGCATATTCTGAAGAGGAGCTGACACTTGGAAGAAGGGAGTGGGTCTCTCAGTTTTTAAGGGCCTTTTAGTCTGGGAGCAGACTACCTCACAGGGTAGCTAAATTTTTAATAGAAAAACCACAGTCTTTATATCTTAAAGAAATCAAGGAAGAGTTCAGAGTACCCACAGTCTCAGAAAGAAGACAGTCAAAGATAGAGAAATTCAAATTCTGTGTATAAGATCTGTTCAAATTTCTTCACGACTCCTGAATTATTAAAGCACAGTGTAGATTCCAAACAACACAGCTAAGGCTAAAATAGGTGAACTGAGATTTGAGCTGCCATTTAAGACAGAGAATTTTCAACTTTACTCTAATGAAGAAAATTAGCCATTAAAACAAAGGAAAACAAAGTCAACATTCTTTGGAAGAACATAAAAGAATCCTGAGTCTTAAAAGAGAAAATATTCATAATATGCAGAAAAAGCCCCAAATTATTTGACATGCAAAGAACTAGTATGAGACGATCAATTTTCAAGAGAAAAGACAATCAACAGAGACCAAACTTGAAACCTACTGGATATGGCATTTACCAACAAGGAGTTAAAGCAGCTATTACAATTATTTCAATGATGTAAATAAAATATGCTTATGATGAATGAAAAGATAGAAAACCTTAGCTGAGAAATAGAAAATTTAAAAAAGAACCAAATGGAAATTCTAAAATGGAAAAATACAATACCTGAAGATATCTGAAATGAAGTAATTGGATGAACTTACCAGTACAATGATGATGACAGAATAAAGAGAGAACTTAAAGAGAATAATACAAATTTATCCAATCTGAAGAACAGAGAGAAACCAACCGGAATCACAGAAATAGGAGAGATTAAATCATTCAAAACCTTTGAAGAAAAAATAGCTGAAGATTCTCAAATTTGATGAAAGACATTAATCTATATATTCAAAGAACTCAGTGAATCCCAAGCAGGATATGTGTGGAAAAAAGTATGTCTAGGAACACCACAGAAAAACTGCTGACAACTAAACATAAAGAGAAACTCTTTAAATTTATTGCAATAATCATTTCATGATATATGTAATTAAAGTAATCAATTACATTTTAAACTTATACAGTGCTGTATATAGTTTATGTTTTAGTAAAACTTCAAAAAAGAGAAATCTTCAAAGCAGCCAGAAAAACAACACATTAAATGCAGGGGAACAACAATTTGAATATTTTGGTTTTTCAGAAACAAAAAAGGCCAGAGGTCAGGAGAACAATACCTTTAAAGTGCAAGAGAAAATAAAAATATCTGTTTATTCAGAATTCTATATTCACAGAAAATATCTTTCAAGAATGAAGATGAGATAAATATATTTTCAGACAAATGTAAATGCAAGAATTTGTCACCCAAAGATCTGCACCATAAGAAATGCTGAAGAAAGTTCTTCAGGCTGAAGGGAAATGCTACCAGATGTAAATGCAGGTCTTCAGGAAGGCATGAAAACGCTGGAAATGATCAAGATCACACCGGGAAAGTCACTTTTTGAAAAAGAGTAAATATGAGAATTATGTATTTTGGAGCAGCTTGTAATCATTTAGAGGCCATTTGGTGTGTGTTAGAGGCTCCTTAGCACTGAGCTGTGAATTCCTTGCCAGGTTAGCCCCAAATGAGCCATAGCACAGGAAATATCCAAAGTTGTCTGATGAAAACTGCTTCCATTTAGAGGGATTATAAATATTTCAAATAGATTTCTAAATAATTAATGCCATAGTTAATCACTATCTAAACTAATATTCTCCTTTGTTATTCCTTTTATCAGGAAAAATAATGATTTCTATATCAAGTTAAGTTTTCACTCAAGATAAATAAAAGTACCTTTGAAAAAAGTGACCTACTCAATATTATCACTGATAGTTAAGAAGTAATAGAAAAACAGAAGTAACAGAAAATAGAAATACTAACATAGCATCCCTCATGTGCTGCAGGGGTATTACATAAAATAGAAGAATATAATGAGTTGCTTGAGAAAAATGAACCTTAAAGGGCTGTGTCAAGAGAGAGATTTGTTATGTCTGATTTAAACCCATTGTGCAGAGAAAAATAAATAAATCGCTCATTTCTAAGAATTCATTCTATGTCATGAGTCTGGATTTCAGTTATCATCAAAGAGCTGTTCCTGGAAAGGTGATTCTAATGAGGTTTGACACTGACAAATTCAAGTATTGTAAAACTTACTGCATCAGGAAAAGTCACGGCTCTCTTAGTTGCCTAACAAAAATGTAAACTGTCAGAGAGTATAAGCAAAGACCAACTCTCAATTCACAAACATGTTGTCTAACTCTAGGAAAGTTATTGTGTTTTTCAGAATAAATTGTGTTCATTCTAGAGAAATGTTCCAGGGCAGGAAGATCTTACTGAGAGCTAAGACATGCCCTGTAGCTGCTCAGCATCCACAAAGCATCTTTCTGTTTCCAGCTGGGCAAGAAAGCATAATCTCTTAGAAGTATAAAAAGTTTAATAACTAAGTGATACAGCTTATCCAGAGGTATCTCACATCTTTTAAAAACCCCTAGAAATATACCTATTGACAAATTTTACCTCAATGCCTCAAAATACTTCAGGAACAGGAGTTACTGGTTCTTTTAGTTGGTAATGAAATAAAGGTAGGAAAAACTAAGAGGGCACTTGCTCTTAGTTTTTCAGTAGGCAAAGTGGTTAGAACCCTTTAACCACTAGGCAATCTTTCTTAACAACAAAGAAACTAAGACCTGTATCATTGCTCTTCTATAAACATCTCATACCGAGACACATGAATGGAATAGAAAGCAAAGAGAACATCAGAGGTTAAAGGGTACAATACTACAGTGAACATATGGGGAGCATTTAGTAACTGACAGTACCTCTAAGTAAAGCAAGTAAGATTTTAATTCTTTGACAACCTTACTGTAAAAAACACTTGATATCTCAGATACCTGTTTTCTGTATTCTATGGTGAATCGAAAGAGCTCTACTTTGGGAAGCAAACCCTAATAAATACCTTCAGAGCGGAAGGCTGTAAGGTGGGATTTACCTAAGATAGGTACTCCACCTAGCTCCACACAGGTGCAGGCAGGAGGAGGATTTTTTTTTTTTTTAATTTTGATTAAGAAATTATTATTGGTTCTTTTTTTTTAAAAAAATTATCTTTATTGTTGAAAGCATTACAGATATCCCCTCTTTTCCCCTCCATTGATCCCCTCCATCCCGCATCTGCTCCTCCCCAGGCCTTCACCACACTATTGTGTGTCCATGGGTTATGCATATAAGTTCTTTGATTAATCTCTCCTCACTCACTCCCCCACCCCCACCTTCCCACTGAGATTCATCAGTCTGTTCCATGCTTCTATGTCTCTGGATCTATTTTGCTCCTCAGTCTATTTTGTTTATTAGATTNCACCCCCACCTTCCCTCTGATATTCATCAGTCTGTTCCATGCTTCTATGTCTCTGGATCTATTTTGCTCCTCAGTCTATTTTGTTTATTAGATTCCACATATGAATGAGATCATGTATAACTGAAACAGGAAGAATCAGAAAACCTAAATAGGCTAATAACAACTGATGAAATTGAAGCAGCAATAAAAAACCTCCAAGGCAAACAAAAGCCCTGGTCCAGACAGCTTCACAGGGGAGCTTTCTAATTCTTTAAGCTATAGGGTTAGATAGTTTACTAAAAATTTTTCTTGCTTTTTGAGGTAGGCCTGTAGTGCTATGAACTTACCCTCTTAGGACTGCTTTCTCTGTGTCCCATAGATTTGGGGTTGTTGTGTGTTCATTTTCATTTGTTTCCAGGAAGTTTTTGATTTCTTTCTTGATCTTATTGGTAACCCATTCATTGTTTAATAACGTGTTACTTAGCCTCCATGTGTTTGAATGTTTTTGAGTGTTTTTACTGTAGTTTTACTGATTTCTAATTTCATGCCCTTGTGATCTGAGATGCATAATATGATTTCAATCTTCTTGAACTTGCAGAGACTGGTTTTGTGTCCTAACATGTGGTCTATCTTTGAGAATGACCCGTGTGCACTTGAAAGGAATATATATTCTGCAGCTTTGGGGTGAAATGTTCTGTAAATATGAATTAAATCCATCTGACCTAGTGTGCCATTTAGTCACTGTTTCTGTGTTTACTTTTTATCTGGAATATCTATCCAGTGAAGTCAATGGGGTGTTAAAGTCCACAACTATGACTGTATTGCTGTTGATCTCTCCCTTAAAGTCCTTAAGGTTATTATTGATAGGTCCTTATTTATTGCCATTTTAATTCTTTATGCCTATGTTTCTCTCTCTCTCTATTTCTATTTCTAATTACAGCAGTTCCTCTAACACTTCCTGCAATACTG